CATCCTTTGTTAGGTACTGTTTACAACGAGCCAATAAAATTTAAATAGGAGATTCATTTCTCATATTAAAAGCCAGTGCGTAAAAGGGCCCCTGGCACCAGACATATGGATATTTTCAGTTCAGTACCCTTCATTATGTAAGTATGGATAATTAAGATTATGTGTATTAAGTTTGGTCAAGATACATCTATTCCTGTAGAAGTACTAAGCCTATTGCTATATATATAGCTAATTTAAGGAAAAAAAAAGGAAATGGGGCCTTCGGCCCCAGAGGGATGGATATTATGTGTTAAAACCCTTCTTTATCTGAATATGGATCATCAAATGTATGTATAGTAAGTTTGGTCAAGATCCAGATATTCAAGTAGCAGTATTTGTAGTAAATTTTATTTATATTTATCATATAAGAAAAAAAATCAAAATTCGGGGCCACCGGTTGTGACTGTTCCAAGTAGAGTTTCGAAATTAAACCTGTTTAACTTTTGTAATTATGCCGTAAGGAATATGTCTGCCCAATTTCAGGCTTCTATCTACATGGGAAAGTGGAGAATATAGGTCATAAAATACATAATAAAATGGGCCCCTGGCCCCAGAGGTAAGAATATTATGAGTTATGTACACTTCTGTATTTGAATATGGATAATCAAGAGTATGTGTACTAAGTTTGGTCAAGATCCAGCTATTCATGTAGCAGTATTTGTTGTTAATTTTATTGTATATATCATATAAAAAAAAAACAAATAAAAATTCGGGGCCCCCGGCCTAGAGGTATGCATATTATAAGTTTAGTACCCTTGATTATTTGAATATTGATAATCAAGAGCATGTGTACTAAGTTTGGTCAAGATCCATCTATTCATGTCGGAGTACTAAGCCTATTGATATTTATAAGGTTTATATTAGTAAAAATAAAATGGGCCCCTGGCCACACAGGGATGGGTATTATGTGTTAATTACCCTTCGGTATTTGAGTATGGATAATCAAATGTATGGATACTAAGTTTGGTCCAGATCCAGCTATTGATCTACCAGTTTTTGTTGATCATTTTATTTAGGGAAAAATGACATTTTGGGCCCCCGCCCCCAAACGGTATAGAGTTTGGAAATGAAACATGCTTAACTTTTGTAAGTGAGCTGTAAGGAATAAGCATGCCGAATTTCAGGCCGCGCTATCTACTGGAGATGTTGGAGCATGGGTGATGAGTGAGTCAGTGAGGGCTTTGCCTTTTATTAGTGTAGAGTCATGTTTGTAGAAACGCGTTGGTTTGTTGAATTGTTTTAATGGGCTAGCCTCCTAAGCTAAGAGTACTCCGAGTCCTGAGAAACATCAACAAACACATTTTCTATTCGGACTACCTATCTATATAGTTTTAGTATACATGAAAACATTTTTACACATACCAGTATATGATTTCAGAGCAAGAACAATGTGCCTCTCAACTGAATCCAATAATGGGAAATAGATATATTAATAATCACATCTGCTGCACATAGATTAAATACATATATGTTACTAGACCTATAGATTAATTATATAAATTAATGAAACAGAATATTTTTTTATTCTTTATGCTTGCATTTGTCCGTTCTTTCCTTTCCTTGTGCATATGCCTTGATCGCATAAACAGATCACATGGCCTCGTTCCTAATTGTTTTCACAACGTAAAATAGATTATGTTGTTTTTTTTTGCTGATACCACTAAAATATGCGAGTTCTCTGATGTGAGCCATATAAATATTATAATCTCATATAAAAACATTACGTAAACAACACAACATGGTACAATGTGTATTATGATAAGAACAGGAGTAATATTGGAATGTGTTGCCTAAAACTAGCCAGTTCGTGAAACCAACAACTTAGCGGCATTCAATAACATAATCAGACTACTGAACTAGACTTAAATCATGGATACGCCGTATAGGACGTAATCATCTTCTCAGAAAATAAGGACATAGCGCCATTTAAATCACCCAATCAGACTACAGGACTAGACTTAAACCATGGATATGCCATAGGACGTAATCAACTTCTGAGAATATAAGATACAAGCAATAATAATAACAGCACAGTCATGAAATATCAATTAACACATTACGATTATAAAAGTTGTTTATCGTGAACTGTTGAAATGTTTTGTTTGGGCGAGTTGTGATCTTTATCCAAGTTCAGATCGTTGGATAGTTATGGAGTTCAGTTTTGTGGGGGTGGGGGGGGGGCTAGGTGTGGGGGGTATGTTGAGTGTTCGTCGTCGTGATGGGGTGCAAGATAACAAAGATAACAAGATGGCCCAAGGCCCGTTGCCTTAAAAGAGACCACTGACCAGATCATAATAAAGGCGCTGTGTATCATTTTTTTTTTGTGCTCTAGAATATGATTTCTGGAGGAGATATCTGATCATGGGCCCCAATTTAAATCTGATATATACGCTCAGGTTAACAATTAAATTGGTATTTAAAGAGTGAAATGGTTACCGTACTACCCCACTTCGAACTGGTTGGTTGATCCATGCAATTGCCCGTTGAAATCAATGCAGCGCAAACTGACTGCTGTTTAAGAATCCCGATACTTGGGAAAGATGTGCAGCGTTTTTTGTTATTAAGGAAGTGCCAATTGAGGCCATCTAAATTCCCCTTCATGAAATGGTCTATGGACGTAAAGTATCAGTACTGTTTGAGTTAGCTTGAGCTAGTACAATTAGTACAGTTGTCTTTAGTCTCAATATAGTGAGCTAATTTAGAGTGAGTACAGTAGAACTTAGTACAGTCGGTATAGTATACCGTAGAAGAGTATAGACCACTCAGTACAGTTGAGTCATGAGGCCTACTAGATTAACAGAGACGGCGAGTTACCGGAGACCAGCTACGCCACCGAGACGCCTGCAGTGCGCTGTGACCAGTGACCAAGCGAAGAGGGACGCCAAACCACATGACAAAATGGGCGCCCGCACGTAGTGGCAAGGTGGGGCACTTGTCCCCCCCCCCTGGATTGATTGGATAAAAAAAATAGACAAAAATTGACAAAAAATTTATTAAAATAAAGAGAAAATAAAGAGAAATTAACTAAGCTGATGTCCTGTCCGTTTGTTCACCATACAAATACGCTACAGTAAATTAAAACTATATTAAAACATTACTAAAAATTTTTTGCCCCCCCCCTGGAAAGTTAATTGATTGTTTTTGCCCCCCCCCTAGAAAGTTTTCTGCGGGCGCCCATGGCTGTGTGTGTGTGTGTGTGTATGTGTGTGTGTTGGACCTACCTAGTGGACAAGATCACCAGTCGGAACATATAAAACTATATTAAAACATTCCTAAAACTTTTTTGCCCCCCCCCCTGGAAAGTTAATTGATTGTTTTTGCCCCCCCCCCTAGAAAGTTTTCTGCGGGCGCCCATGGCTGTGTGTGTGTGTGTGTGTATGTGTGTGTGTTGGACCTACCTAGTGGACAAGATCACCAGTCGGAACATAATAATTAAATAATAATGGGCAGTATATCTCTTTATCCTTTATATGTGTATAGTATATGTAATGTGTATGTAGATCATTCTTTTTTTATAATTAAATATTTATTTGTTGGCTGAACCACCTTTGTTATAATATGAGCTTAGTTATAGTATTAATAGAAGTGAGAGCAGGTGAGAGTGTCATTGAATGTTAGAGTGAGTGAGGAGAGAGACTAATTTACAGTACTTCATTAGTAAATCTAGAGTCGTACCCTAGACATAGCCCTAGTGGCCGTACTAATCTAAAGAAGAAGAAGAAGGGATCTTTGTTTTAAAACATATCTAACAGCTGCACACCAGCAGGATGTATGAACCTGTTACACCACCCCTCGTTCCCTAGACTAAATTATCGCCCATTTTTACACTAGCGTATCCAGTAGGAGAATGGAGTGTGGGGAGGAGGAGGGGGGGGGGTCAGGTGGTGTTGGTTTAGCGGCCGCTCACCCTTGGTGCACGCGTGCGAAAAATAAAATATTTTCAGTTGACACCTATCCTCTAACAAAAGACAAAAGAATGAGAGTAGTAATAATAATAATAATAATAATAAAAATATTACTCCCCATTTCTATTGTCCTAGCAGTAGACCGAACATTCTGCCTAACAGATGTATAGCAAGGAGCGTGGGAAGCCACACACCCCCCCCCCCCAAATCACCCCCTTCATACGCCAGTGATCAACGGGTACAAAAAAAAAATCCAAATTGAAAGTTGATGAACACAATGTTTCCGAATCGTATTTGTTATGACGCAAATCACGTTCATGTTATATTTCTACATTAAATTATCACCCCCCCCCCACACCCAAAATATATTTTATAAACCGATTTTATCCCCTCAAATTGAAATGGAGAAAACCAGTTACTGTTTCATGTCAAAGTATTTGATAAACTGTAACCTATTTATAATATATAAAGAAAGGTATACACATAAATGCGATACAATAAATACATAAAACATTCTTGAAGTGTTTTAAGAGCACGTTGAAATGCTAGGCGGCTAAGACAAAATGGCGTATTCAAGACGAGACGCATGATTAGCTAAATGCTGTATCTCGACACGGGACAGACGCAGCCAGTGGTGCCAGGACAACTTTTTCTGTCGTAACAATCTAACGATTTTAAGGTTATAAACTTTTAATGTTTGTCTCTAGTGCCTTCATTATCCACCACGCACAAGCCCCCCCCCCCACTCAAGATATACACATACTACTCCATTTGGGTAATTTCCCCCCGTTTAATGACCCACTGGTCAACAGTACACATATTCTGTTATCAACACATCTACAAAAGGTATGCATGGCATGGCAAACACCATTTTCAAATTGGCTTTAAAGCAACAGCTAAACACTTATTTGTACCCATACTTCTTATGCCCCCACCCCGTCTTTGACATTTACAGAATAGTTCAAACTCGCCCTTAATCTGCTGACTCATGTGGTTATTAATCACGTACTCTGCTACCGTTGCACACAACCAATGCCATACGGTTAGTTGGGTCCACAGTTACCGTGTCATTAAATGGCCACTCACATTCAAACGCTGAGCTACAACGTTGGCTGGAAGGGTTGTCAAATTGTGTGTGTGTTGCTTGAGGTCTGGGGATGAACATAGGAACTTAGACAGCGGATAAGAGGTAATCTTACGTTCCTGCTATCCTCACATGCTTGTCGTGTTTGCTCTATTGATACTCTTTTACAAACTTTTAATGATATATGTGTTAATCCATTAATGCGTTCATTCTCCAGCTCGTCAGTTCATTCTTCAAACAAGGTTTATTACCTATCAATGATCCATGGTTTTATCCATGGATCAATGATCCATGGTTTTATCCATCATCTGTCAGCTTATTCATCCATCCGCTCATTTATCTAACAGTTTACATACATATCAATCCATCCATTTATCCATACCTCCATTTATCCATCCATCCACCCATCCATAAATCTATTTATTCATATGTGTACCAGTTTAAATTTAATCTATCCACACAACCATCATTCCATCCATCTACCATTACATCTATCAGCCTGTTAGCCAGACACTATACCATCAATCTTTCCACTCACATACATTTTTATGGATGCATGATCACAAATTAACGGATTTTTGTCATTGCAATCATTTCGCATGCTACAATGAATAGTTTATTTAATGGCAAAGAGATCACCAGTCTCTGTTCAATTTTTTTCAGACAGCAAAAAAAGCGAAAGTCTAATTTAGGAATAAAAATCAACTGTCAATAGACTGAAATCGCTTTTAAACAATGTCACGTCCTGAATTAAACTCAGCAGTGACGGTCATACCACAGACAAAGTTCATTTTCTGTATTATTTTGAGCACCCTCTCTGTTACCAACTGCACTAAAAATGACATTATGGACTATACACACGCAAAATGTCAGAAAATTCATGTTTCCACGTGTCAAGGCCTTCCCTATAACGAGACATCATTTCCAAACTCGCTAGACCAACAGACACAGGACGAAGCAGCGTTAGAAATGCATCAGTTCCTGCCTCTGATCAAAATCAAATGCAGCAGTAATTTCAATCTTTTCGTGTGCAGCGTTTACCTTCCCGTGTGCAACGGAAGTTATGGAGTTATCGCTCCTTGCCGATCGCTCTGCCAAGAAGCAAGGCAAGGATGTGAACGTATACTCAAACAATTCAACTTTGCATGGCCGGACCATTTTAATTGTGACAAGTTTCCTGCAACGGGAAATTGCGTCAGCGAGCATTCTCTGAATTGCCATGAGGCTTGTATTTCTGGAAAAGCACAAATATTTTCAAGCAGTCAAGTAACCACTACACAGATGAGCAACACACGTAGGACCAATCAGGGAGGTAAGTGTTTTTTTGTTTTTTGTTTATAGAAATGGTTGATTCACCAATGCAACTAAACCCAAACATTGTGTGACTGGGTTGCTTTATGTTTTGGTTTGCTCAAACCAGAACCTAACATCCATACATACGGACATGATGTGCATACTCGTGGACATACGTACTCGTGGACATAACATAAATTCTGGTGGTAATAACATACATTTTCGATGACATGACATAGATTTCAAAAGAGAGGGAAATCTATTAACGCAAACCCTCCGCTGTCTTACGACTAACCCCATATGGCCAAGGCCTTAGGAGTAAACTCCGACCAGAGCTATGATGCAAGGCATTCGCGCAATGCTGCCATTTTTCGGGTTTGTGTCCTCTGAACTGAAATTTGAAAGTTAAAATTAGTTCATCATATCCTAACGGTTGGCACCTTAATTATCTGATTTTCCTGAAGAAAAAGGGGGTTGAATTACTCATGCGACAGCTCTGTCTCCGATAGTATAACTCGGAGATTTAGTCTTAAACACCATTATAAATCATTCGTACTTCAATGGTGTCTCAGAATGTTGACGTTCAGTTTTGAAAATAAACGTAAACAAAGGGACGACCAAAATAATTGCAACTTTTAGAAAATGTAATAAAATCTTCATCCTTTCCTTTAACTTGCAGGGATTTCAGAGAACTCATCAACAAACTCTCCTGTGGTTGATTTGGTTGTCTTGTTGTCTGCAACCTGTTTCCTTACCTGTATTGGTGCTCTACTCTAAGTTGTGACGGTGCAGGTATTTGTATACAATTTATGATTTCTTAATTTAAAAAAAAAAAAATTCCCAGCCGTGTTTTGATAGCTATGTTTGTCGGGGATAAGTCTATGTAAAATGCTTTTCACCCTTGCAATCAAGTTCTGTTTAGCAGTAGTTTACTAATGAATCTCCATGTGTAGTCAACCTTTTATAAATACTAATTTCTTTTCGAGGGACCAATGGTCGTTAACCCTCGGCTTCTGAGCAACATGCGGCTCTTTGAAGGAATAGCTGCGGCACTTTGAAAAAAAATTGTAATAAGACACACCGCTCGAAAACTATTTACTTAGCATATGTAGCTTATTAAGAGTATTCCCAATCAAGATATGTATTGAATGATTGCTTTAATTGAATAGATAAAATTGTCACTGGAACAATGATGGAGATGCTATTATAGGGTTTTAAACTACTTCATACTTGTAAGTCCGAACTCCAGTTAAGGTTGTAACTCCAACTGAAGAGGATTATTACATGGCTGAGTTGCCTCTTAGTGCAGTTAATAGTAAATGCCTAACTGAAGACGTCACTTTGTCATCTTCAATGTTGTACATACACATTTGGTTAAATGTTATCTTGAAAGTTACACTTACCGGTTCACATGTTAATATGTCTGTCATCTTGAATGTTACACATTTGTTTAAATGTCATCTTGAATGTTACACATACATACGCGGGTAGGTCTCACCCTCTAAACAATGAGTGATGTTTGTATGACTTACTTGCCAGACAAAATTAACATGTCTCAGGAATGTCGGGTAATTGTTTTGTGTGCTACCACGCTTTTCCTCGTTTGTAAATTATTTTGCTTTCTATAAAAGATTTTTTTTTTTTTTTTGTAAAGGACCATTTTCTACCATCAGTTGATCAATTGTCAAGCCATGTTGGGTTATTGTTTTTTGTTCTACCACGCTTTTCCTTGTTTTTAAATTATTTTGCTTTCTATAAAAGATTTTTTTTTTTTTTTTTGTAAAGGACCATTCTCTACCATCGATAGATCAAGTGGCAAGCCAATGACAGTTCTAAGCGAACGTTTGCAATGACAACCGCAACTGGCTGGACTTGACGTTTGAATCATGTGGCTGGCATTTATATGATACGCTTAGCTTGTGTGATTAGTTTCAAAACACGTGAATTGTGTCATTACATTACAAGATGACAGTTTGGAGGGGATCATGCAGAGACACGAGACAGAAGTTGGTGTTAAAGCAAAGGGAGCGTGTTACCAATGTTCATCGGGTCGTAGGAGCAGCTGGTGCCGTATTAAAATAAAAGTCTCATGGATCAGTGGTTGGGGAGTTGGGCTTGATTTGATTTGAAACGTTATTGCAATAATGTAATTGAGAATAACGATGGGAGCGGGAATGAGTGTTTATGAAAGTTGTTTATCGTAAGTCGGTGAACTTTTTTTTTTTTTTTGGGGGGGGGGGGCATGCAAGGTAGTTATTCAGTGAAGATGAAAGTAGCGTCGTGAGGATTTAAAAAAAAAAAAAAATGAAAACATTTTTGTAAAACTGCCAGTTGCTTCCAACAAGGAATCCTAATTACTTCAATTGGAGATTTTTTATTGATCTTACGTATGAACTTAGTGTGTATTTTAGAAAAGTAGGATAATGCTGTCACAAAAATAAACAACGACCGTAAGATTTGAAGACAGAACATGAAACGGAAGAAAGATTGTAACATTTGGGGGCCCGTACAGAAGAGCTATTTTGTATGTGCTGTGAAGTAATCACCAGTATTATGGCTGTTGATAAAGTCTGCCTGACACCGCAAATTAAAATAAACCCGTTGAGTTATTCTGCTGTTGTGCATCCTGCTGTGCCTGTCTACTGAAATGATGTATAACAATTTTGCTGTGTCCTGCTCTCCGTCTACTGATATGCCTATTTCCTGCTGTGCCTATATCCTCCTGTGCCTCTACCATGCTGTGCTGTAACCCGACTTGGCAGTATCTTGCTGACCTCTTATACTGCTGCTCTGTATCTCAATTTTGCTGTGTCCAACGTTCCATTCCACAAAGTGCGTCACCTATGATTATACTATTCCCAAGCCTACGTCTAGGAAGATGGTCAAGTTTCGTTTCAATGAGCCACTATACATTCATTGCAAGTATTTGTGAGTAAACAATGACAATGATTCTCGTGGGGTCTATCTATCTATAATCTGCACACAATGGTCTGCGTCCAGCATACAGGAATGCATGTCTGGGGGATACTGGCACCCTCTGCGCCTCACTGCCACTAACAGGGTTATTTCATATATAACAAATAGCACATATCCTTTTTCATCCCCCTTTGGAAACCCCAACCGTTTCATTTGAAACCCACACAACCTTGTTTAGCCAGTTTCCACCAGATGACAGTCTAGTGTAAAGACATAGGTCGGCTACTGAAAAATAATTACAAACTGATAACGGCAAAAGCTCAGAGGCAGGACTAGAACCAAAAAATATGTACGTCAAAGGACTGAATGCATCCAAAGGTCGTGTCTAGTTTTGCAGCAATTGCAATACGTGGCGATTTAGAAGCATAGACGCTGTGTAGCATTAAAGCAAATGAGATGAGACGCAAAACGGTGTTGCTAAAAGCTAATCATTATCTACAAACAATCGTTTTCGTGAAATAAAATGAATTCAACGCCCCATTAAAAGCAACGTTTCTCGTACAAATCATTTATAAAATGTAATGTCAAGAACTTTGGGGTAAAAATGTTCGGGTGCGAGCCTTTGGGGGAAGTGCTACTCCACATAGGCGCACAATCGCACATTTTCAAGCCCCTGAACTATGATAATATTCATATGACCCACCAAACTTTTACATCGCAGTTTTATTTAAATATCGCAAAAAACAAAAAAAAAAAAAGAAAATATTACGCACCACACGAAAGAGCGATATGTTTGGTAAATACAGAATCTCATTTAGCGCAGTTATCGGGCATTTCCTTTTATCAGGAATAGTAACAGGAAAGACAACAACAGATTTTTGGGGGTTGGGCGTTGAGGCTAAAATTTGATAGAGTGTGTTGTCATTTAAATGCCATGTGCCCAGGTTTAGATTTTATAGCGCTTTACAGGGTGACGGGAAGTGGGTCAATTAACCGTCTGAAGATTTTTCCACCCGCCCGCCCAGCCAGCCAGCCACTCACTAACAAAAGCGAAGTTAATATAAAGGATTTAACAAAGAAAGATCACAAATAATAATTCTCAATGTATTTATGTATTGCGATAACATTGTGCGAGCAAAATAAAATTCCTAGAATTTTGTACCGATTGAAATTCTTATCAGGTGAGTTATTTGAATGCTTGTTTTGTCACCTTTGGCTGATGGGAAGCTAATGGTTTGGCGGGTTACTGCTGGTAAAAAAAAACCACACACATTTATTATTACATATTCCGTAGAAATTGCCAACACACATATATAAATATATACATATTTACGTTTTATAAAACAGTTCATTTGAGCACAATAGACAATAGGAACGTTAGCTGATCCTCCGAAAAAATTAGAGGAAATATAAATGGAAAAAATATAGTTTGAAACTCAAAGTTTAATTATCTTCAAATCACTTAAAGCTATTCTATTCCAAAACATCATCATATCTCATGTTCGTGTCAAATTGTTAGTGGTAAAGCTAGAAATTAATTCATTTTTTTAGCTTATAAAGTTAGAAAAAAATAGACATTGGTAATACGGTAGACAAAACCTATAAACATTTTATTATTTAAATTAGATATGGTTCTTATGTGTAGATCACAATTTTAGAAAAAAAATCATATCAAGGCATCAGTCATTACTTGGAAAATTCATTGTTGCCAACCAATTAATTTAGTGGGTAATAAACGATGATAGGGATAAAGCACGAAAAAGAAAAAAAACACTTTAAAAAAAAACAACAAAAAAACAACAACAAAAAAACAACAAAAAAAAACAAACAAAAGAAACAGACATTAGCTCCCCAAAAATAAAATTAATGTCATTTAAATAAGACAACAACGTAATAGAAAATATAGACTATTTGTACAAGGAATGTTAGGCAATAGTCTTAAACAATAACATGAAACTAAAAAAAAAGATTGCCATAAATTCAAACAAATGTGAAAATAATAACATGATAACAATACCGTGTGACAATATTAATAAGTAAATATTTAAATTGAAACAAATTGGTACAGCTATAATAGCACAAATATACTTTTTTTCCCTCTATATAACTTGGTTCGTCACAAAACTGAGGCTGCCATAGTACGACGCATTAAACCGTTTGACGCCCAGGTATTCATCTCTCGTGTCGTTAAACAACTTCTCCTCGAGGCAGCCGATGACGACACGATCCTCCCAGAGGAAGAACTTGTTGGCGAACATTTCAACGGCTGCTCCAAGACGAGGCAGGTCACCTGGAAGACAGACGGTCCGGAAATGAAGTTACCAACGATCACTCAAACAGCACCATTAGGCTGGAGCTCGAATCTCATGCAAACAACAATTTCCATACTATTCTGATGTTTAGTTGTTACTCTGCTTAGTGACTGGACGTTGGAGTAATTCATTTGTTTGAAAACTTTTCTATAGTAGATTTTAAAACAAAACCGGAATGCCAAGTAACATGACACCATCTGTTGAACTAATTCTTCTACTACAATTTTAACGCAGTAGCTCATCAATATATTATTTGATCCCATCTCGATGTTTACAGACTATTTGATATCATTTCTATGTTCCCAAGGGCAATGTCATTCAACCTCTGTTTCGAAAAAAAAAAAAAAAAAAAAAAAAAAAAAAAATGCCCCAAAAAGAAAAAAAAAAAAAAAAAGAATAAAAACCTCTGTTTAAAAAAAAAAAAAAAAAAAAAAAAAAAGAAATGAATGACCCAAAGGGCTAACAGAGTAACGTTGGTTTTAAAACCAATAAATTTGTAATGTTTACAAATCCTTTCATTTTTTAAAGGGTTTCATAAAGTTATTTACATTTTTTCCCGGGATTAAACCTTCTTTTACTAGAATATTGCAATACTTGTCAGAGGAAGTTCGATTTGAGTAGGTATTAAGTTAATGAGCTAGGCTTTGGCATTCTACACTTCCCCCCCACAGTAAGGTAAAAACTTATTGAACTCACCTAAACCAAGAATACAGATCTGTCTTGTGAAATGTCCCGCGCATAAATGCCTTAAATGATCCCAGATCTTGTACCTGGATATAAATGGGCCCATACCTGCAGGATCACCTGAAATCAAGCCAAAATTATTTTTTTTAAGCGATAAAATTTATTGGCATTGTCAAGTCGTTAAATTTTCCACCAGTCCGGTAAGAAATATTGCCTAGAGACGATTTAGCCAATCAAAACTGCATTTATCGTTCGCAGCCAACCACATGGTCGCAAGTCATGATGTGCCAGAAAACAAGTGTAGCTTTTAGATGGTCAGCTCTACTGTGACCAGAATATAGCATAGTTTTTGAATTGCCAGCTCTGCTGTGACCAGAATATAGCATAGTTTTTGAAATTGCCAGCTCTGCTGTGACCAGAATATAGCATAGTTTTTGAATTGCCAGCTCTGCTGTGACCAGAATATAGCATCGTTTTTGAATTGCCAGCTCTGCTGTGACCAGAATATAGCATAGTTTTTGAATTACCAGCTCTCATGTGATCAGAATATAGCATAGTTTTTGAATTGCCAGCTCTCATGTGACCAGAATATAGTATATTTTTTGAATTGCCAGCTCTCATGTGACCAGAATATAGCATTTTTTTAAAAAAATTGTCAGCTCTACGGTAACCAGAATATAGCATAGCTTTTTAATTGCCAGCTCTGCTGTGACCAGCAAATATTTTAAAATTATTTTTTTTTTACATTGTCAGCTCTCTTTATGTGCATAAGTGTGTGTGGTAATCCAGGAGGAGGATGGTAGATGGTTTTAGTAGAGGTGGAGTTTTAAGTAGATGACATGGTGAAAGGGGTTTTGCTTGGGGGGGGGGGGGACTGACATGGCGGTTGTCATGATCATGTTGGTGTGGTTGGAGGTGATATTTGACAACACGACAACCCAAAGCGAGTTTAAAAATGGGTGAAGGCATTACACATAACACAATTCTATATTGAGACATAGTAAATAAAAAAAATATTAGGAGGCACATGAGAATCATCTCATCTCACATTATTTAAAAAAAAATAAAAATTAATGACATTTGAAAAACGCAACATGATGTTCCAAACCTTTGAAGGAGCCTTTGATTCCCAGCTGAGGGTTAAAATTTAATATCGTGAAGAATGTTTCATCGGGGATATCCGTTCTTTTCGTCCAATTCAA